ATCTGAAAATGTGAAAATAACAACCATGTCTCTGAACTCCTCATAAACTGATACAGCGCCTACTTTCCATTTGCTCAGACACATTAATGATCTTACTACCAGTTTTTGCAGTCATCCCATACTAAGTATTATTTCAGCATTACAGGAAATATCTAAGCAAAGAAGATAAACCAAACATAAAACAGTTAAGACAGTTTGAAGTGACTTCTTTCCACGCTTGTCATATTTGTCTCCTGCTTAGGCGTGTAGCCCATACCAATTGCAACTTTTTGCTTACATCTGTTGCTTCTTCTCTGCTATGCTGAAGATGCTTTTGTAAAGATTATGAATACTCTTATCTTAACCTAACAGAAGACTAATCTTTTATTTAAAAACTATGGCAGGATCTTGTAGCCCTGAAACAAATTCCAGATTTTGAATCTTCCTAATTCTAATTCTCTAACCGTAGGCATTATTCCTAGTACCCCTCAGAAGCGTTTTCTGCCAATTTTAATTCAGATACTTTTCCTTCTATACTCCATTTCAGAAATTTCTCTCTTAGCACCAAAAAAGCACCCCAAAACTGAAAACATATAAATAATTTCTCAAACATATATATCTTGCCTTAATCTAAAAATGTCTATTCTAGTCCTTCACACATCCATAAAGGAAACTTTCTCTCTTGAAACTTGTCTCCCTCTGTTCTGTCCTTGTGAGGCTACACCTTCAGCACTGCACAGAGGCCTGGGGTCCTGAGCACAAGCCAGTTGTAGAGCTGTTGGAGTGAGTCCAGAAGAGGCCATGAAAATGATCAAAGATCTGGAACACACCTTTCTTAGGAAGAAAAGTTGAGGGAGATGAGCTAGTTCAGCCTGGAGAAGTCTCTGGAGGGATCTCACCGAGGCCTTCCAGAAATAACAGGGAGCTTATAAACATGAGGGACGCTGACTTTTCAAATGGGCAGGTAGTGATAGGACAAGGGAAACGGATTTAATCTAAAAAAAAGGGGAGGTTTAGATTAGATGTTAGAGGGAAATTTTTCACTCAGAGTGTGGTGAGGCGCTGGCAAAGGCACAGAGAAGCTGTGGATGCCCCATCTTTGGAGGTGCTCAAGGCCAGGTTGGGCTATCTGATCTAGAGCCTGATTTAATGGGTGGCAACTCTTCCACAGCAGGAGGTTCTAACCAGATGATCTTTCAAGTCCCTTCCAACTCAAGCCATTCTATGATTCTATGATTTTCAAAGACTAGAGTAGGAATAAAAGCCCATTTTACAAGATAACATGACACTACCTTATACTATGAAGATGTATTCTACTCTATACATCATTTTCTGTTTTACTCACTAGATACTTCCTGATTTCCAAAACAACGAAATACTGTGGAGAGTTCTGTACAACCTTACCACCAAGACCGCAGTAGCTTATACGGGATGCTCAAAAAGAGATTCTGAATTCCCTTCCATTGAACTTCACCATTTGAGATCCTGGAATAACTTGTGTTCATGTTAGTCACAGAATTATGAGAAATGAAGGAAAAAAAAAAAAAACAAATACTGCCAGTAAAATTATCAATACTGAAAGCAAAAGAATTACAACCATGTCTTCCACTTCAGATTTTAACACAACAGAAAATTATACAAGCTATTTTTCAGTTCCAATTTATAAATTCCTTAAGCCAGACATGAGCAAAGATGTATTTCTCTCAGTCATCAGTGTAAATAGTAATACCAGAAAAGAAATGAAAATCCTGTCTCTTATCTCTGCAGTGCATGTGAAAACAATATGTACATGTGTATGCACACATCTGAAACAAAAAGTCAACTCCAATTTTTGTTTCATATATTGCAAGCAAATTTTCAGTACAAGCCAGTCTAGAAATATTCTTTTTTTCTCCCCAAACTGCTTAACTGTAATTACATTGGCCTTACCAGAAAAAATATTTGACTTCTATGCTTCAAAACCTAGTGCACACAAAATGAGCTATCATACCATAAGCCATGGGCCAATAGTTAAAATAACGTACATTTGATTCACCATCACCTGCATGTTCCTTCTTGTTATTAAGAAACAATTCCTGCTGTTGTGCCTACATACCTTTCAGGCAGCAGTATTACAGCTTTGGTGTTAAAACAAATCTAGGCTGCATTATGCTTTTATATCTAAACATAGTCTCTGGTATGCCACAAGCTACAGCAGGAATAGTCTTGGGCAATTAGAATGAAACACATTTAGAACTTTTTTTTTCCCCACAAGGAAAGGGACAGCTATGGAAAATGCTATGAAGAGATAATAGTTTTTTCAGTACCGTATCCATTGAATCTAATTTATATTAACTTGCATTGATGAAGAAAAAATAACATGGTGAGCTTTTTTTCTGGGGGCTGGAAGGTTTACAGGAACTGTAAACACTCAAATATGAATAAATGTCTAAATGAATTGAACTTCCAACTATAACTATAACTATAAAGTTTCCATAAACAGTTTATCCTCATCAAGCTATTGCACTACTGCTTCAGAGACAATATAATGAGGTCAGCTTTACTTAGATTAAGTTTAGTTCAATTTTAACATCAGGGGGATTTAGCTTATTCTTTGAGCTGAATGATGGTTCAGTTTGAGATGAATACTGCCAATTCTAGTATATAAACATCATTTATTAATGCACTTCTCATAAGCAAAGATGATGAAATCAAAAATTCATAATAAAAGTAATTGTAACTCCTCAAGTACTAATATAATGAACTGACTGCATGCAAAATACATATACTAAACCTATATCTAGGTAATTACGTTACGGAAACATTATTACCATGCTAATATTTACAAACAGCAGGTTTTTTTTTCTGTTTTTCTCTTTTTATGTAAACGCTCAGATCAATAGTAGGCACACCAAAGTTTGCCTCTAGCCCCTCAGATCCAGATTTGATAATATTTCCAGGGCAACATGACTACTCTACTTTTAGTAAAGTAACAAAGTTCACTTCAGTTACCTGAAGCTAAGGAAGGTGAAATGAAGTTACTTCAGCAAAATTAATTAAAGGATGAGTTTACTAAGCAGTAGAACTAATCAAAGCCTGAGTTTGGATCCTTTATTGCCTGAAAGATGATCATTTCATAAAGATGAGCATTCCATGCTAGACCATAAATAAAAAGTTTATATTATGACCTTTAACACATCATTTACTTGCTGTTGCATTAAAGGATCTACCACTCCCATTGGACTTTAGACCCATCACATGATTAAGATCTTCTTCAGATGCTGAGTAACTCACTAAAGTTACTAAAGAAGGCTGACAAGACCACTTTTAGGTCCCAATTTTCCATTCATACTTTATCACATGTTCATGCGATTACAGTGCCAAAAAATATTTCTGGAAGAGCCATGCAGTTTTCTTTCTATGGAGAGAATAAAACCAAACCTAATCTCTTTTTTCCTTTTCCTACACAGATATAACAGGACTGAAGTTTGAGATACATCAACATAAAACTTCAGCCAGACTCCTGTAAATGATGGGAGAATTTATCTTAACCTAACAGCTGAGAAGATGAAACGATTCTCTCATTGCTCCAACATTTTGATATTTTACATCAGGAAACCAACTAACTTCAAATGGACAACATGAAGAAGTCTGTTTCCATAGAAACAAGTTAGATGAGAATGTATACCAACCAGTGGTCTAAGGAAACAAAACTGGATTGCAGAAATGTGCCTCTGAAATACATTTCAAAGACAAAAAGTATTTTAGATACAGGATCTTGTTTCAAACATTTTGTTTCAAACATTAATGAATTCAGTAAAACACACTGGTAACAAGATTTTCAACCTAATGCTCAAGCACTTGAAGTAGCTTGTCACTATAAAACTTTAAGTATGTATGTTCGTACGCAGTTCATTCTGCTCTGAAACAGGCTTAAAAATAAAATATTTTTAGAATTATATCTATTTCTAAGAAATGCAACTTAAAATTAACTCAGGAAGTTTCAAATACAGAATTGTAGATGTTGTCTCTAGCAGCTTGTGGTACTTTCATTATCATTCAAAGCCTCTTATGCTCTCTACGCTAGCTTTTGTGTAACTGACTAAATTATTTGAGCTAACTTTTCAAAACAAAAGTGTATAAAGAAAGCCTAACACCTCTGGAAAATGTGAGTCACCTAATCTTTCATTACAAGTGAAAGAAAATTTATAGTATAACTAATACCACAGGAGTATAGCTTTTAAAAATATTGCCTTTTACACTTATTTTATGAATTCATACTTCTTTGGCAATCCAGTTTCATAACCATCACCCTACTAACCTTACTTTTTTTTTTACTACTTCAACCACAAAGTTCTATATCCTCAGTAACATTCAACTAAAACAAAATGGAGCTCCAGTTGACAAGATATTTTCTCCTTGTGAATAAAACTCTAAGATACTAAACCAATATCTACCCAGTAGTAACGCGTGATCCAAACCAGAAGCACTGTGACGTACAGACATATTAAAATATCTCTGAAATCTAAGCATGTCAGAATATTTCTAGATGTTACAACAGTCATGATTTCTTTTTTCCTACAAGTACTGTACACATCCAAGCATGAGTTGTTATGCACATATGCAGATACGTGTAAGTTGTGAGAAATAACTTAGTATTACACGCTAACAGCATTCTACCCACTGCAAGTACTACTGATAGTGAAGAGTTATAAAATACTATGTATAGAACATATGCATGGTAAAACAAATTAAGGAAAAGAAGAGAAAGTAGTAGATTACATGAATTATCACATAAAAAGAACAGTCAATACATTTTCCTGCTTTTAGGCTGCCACAATTTCTTTGTCTCCATTCTAATAATTTACCTAGGAGACTGTACATAACTTTTGGTAGTATTAACTGAATACAACGTAATCAATTGCATCAGCTAAAGGAAAAAAGATTTAAAATGTCATTTATCTTTAATAAGCAGAATTTTATTTAGCAGTATTTAACATTAATGAGCTCCTTATTTGAAGATGAAATAAACAAATACATACTCTGATCCAAAATCTCTTCCTCTTCTCCTTTTGACAGCTGCAAAGAACTTTTATCAGTATCCTTGGTTTCTAAAAAAGGGGATTTAGAATAAGCTGTTAACTTCTGCGTGTGAATGGAAATGAACATCATCTGCTAGAGAAAAAAGCCCTTCTGAAATCAGCCTTTTTTTTTTTTTAACCCTCTAACAATAATACGTGTACCAATCAATAGAGCAGTAAAAGAAATGTAATGAAAAAGAAACATTTATTTACATTTGTAACAGGATAGTAGGAGAGGTTAGGAAAAAACTTAGATTCTGTATCACCTATCCATCTACACAGATAGAAACGTTCCACAGTTGCAGTAAAACCTAGAGATTTAAATTTTTTTTTTTTTTTTTTTTTTTTTTTTTTTGAAGCTGTTAGTTTAAGAACAACATATGCAATTGCCAAGAATTTTTTTTTTATGGACCTTTGTGAAAGGGTAGCATAAACCTACTTGATCAAAGGTCAAAGCCCAATTTCAATGGCAGCCTCAGTGATGTCAGCGAAAAAAATATCACAGATAATTCCAGCTAGTCCTAAACTTAACTAATAGCTGGTATCAAATATATCCCAACTTTCGTGTGTTCTTGTGTCTATATAATGCAAAAGACTGCCCAATAATGGTGCAGCAAATGACTCCAATATAATCAGCTCCAGCATGAGAAACAAATCTAGCTCTATCCAGGCAGTATTTTGCCACAAATAACTATCAGTTTTCTAAGCATCTGGTTAAACATACTGCTTTACAATATTTGCTGCCCTGTGTAGAACTATGCAACACAGCCATATCAACAAAGTTACTTCTGAATACTGCTACTGTGGTAATAGAAATGTTTGATTCTTCCAATAACAATGCACTGGGATCTAGAAAACTTTAACTTTGCAGGAAATAGATAGAAGCTAAAGTAACTATTAAGAAAACGTTTATTTAAAGCACTGATATCTATGTACCATAGCAACAAGTTCAATTTTCTTGTGCATACGTAGGTCACATAGCTATAAAACCATGATGGAAATTGAAAGTGAATGCAGTAAGAAATAGACAAAAGACTGTGGAAGACATTTTGATCAAAATTAAGAGCAGAAGGTCATGATGCTCTCGAATTAACAACTTGTGTTTCATTCAAAATTTCATTTGCTTTCTATGACAATTTACACATTAAAGTAAAACAAACACATCAGTAAACATGAAGTTTTACACAAAATGGATTTCAAGTTTTTTTTCTTACCTTCTTGATGCCCATGTGCCATCTTTAGCATATCAGGCTTGACTGGAATAGGAATATTTGCTTCCTGTGGTATGTTTCTGAACATCTCGGGGTTTGCATTCTGTGTGCACGTTGTATACGAGACAGCATGCTTGGCTTCCATGTAATACATAATGTAAAAATTACACATTTCATCATTGGCTGTTCCCCTACAGAACAAAGAAAGCATGCAGCAGTGAGAAGAGAAAAATTAGGTAAATACAACTGCTATTCAATCTGTCCAATTTAACAGAATATTTAAAAAGTTGCAATTAAGAGCTTATAAGTCCCTCACTCACTAAAACTTCTCATAGCTTCACTGCTTGAGGTTTCTTTCATTATACATTCTCTCTTTCTATAACAGAGAATAACACCTTGCACAAGCTCCTCAGATATTTCAGGAATTTCTAAGAATAATGCTTTGATTCTACAGAAAACTGCATCAATGATTTAAACTGCTCTTTCCTCTTCTCTTTTTCTCCAGTACAGTCTTCGTACTCCCCAACATATCATCAACTGTATACATATTCTGATGAGAAGAGGCAGAACTGTACCATTAATGTTGCCATAATATAATTCTGATACTCTGGAGCATATCAAATCTAAAATAATTGCAAATGATTTCTGTGTTTAATTTCAGTAGCTATCACTTAAGACAGTCCTTCCATGTTTAAGTACATCAATTCATTGGCCATCCTCCACAGTGTTTCTAACAAAGCAAAACCTGCTTTCATTATGTATTAAAACAGCATAAATAACTCCTAAGGTTAAGATGGCATTGCTATCTTGAGAACAACTTGATCACAAGCTTCTGTAGGAATAAAATGCGTTCAAGAGGAATGATTACACACTAGGTGAAATACAGTTCTTTGTCAGGCATGTACTTGAAACAGAAGAGGCTCTTCTGTACTGCTACATAATCCTACCATCAATAAAAGGAACAGCTGGTAAGAGAATTTTTCAGAAAAACATTACTTTATGAGGCAGACTACACAGAGGCTCTTCGCAACTGTGATATGTTTCTGTTTATTTATGCCATATCTTTTATTTATAGATACAATCCTGACAGTAGAATAAGCTATATCTTAAAAACAAAGGTTCACCAAATAAACAAAGGGTTTTATGTTATTTTATTTTATTTTTTAAATCAGCGCTCATTTTATTCTCATAAAATTACATGGGTGTGGCCTATTAGCTATTTGTGGAAGATGTCAGTGCTGACTTTTCAAGCACTCATTTATTCACCATAGCAACAATGATGACACCAGCTGGAGGGGGGACAGAGGGAACATGGGAGAAGACTTTTTCAAAAGGGGAAATGGGATTTTTCCATGCTCTGAAAATTTACAGTCCCTTGGAGACTACAAAAATCGGATTCTGACTTGGCAAGCTCTGCTTAAGCTTTTAGCAAGCATTCACTTCACTGCTGGACTGTAGTATCTGTCACCATAATTGCCTCCAGCAAAGAAAGAGGATGTGGAGCTCGCATCAACACCAGTCACCAGATGCATCTAAACACTGCCAGGTTAATTTTTTTTATATTTACTGTGGTTTAAAAAAAAAAAAAAAAAATAGAGAAAAATACCATTAAGAACAGTTTTAGTAAGCTCATGGAAAACACAGAATCCTACCATTAGATACCTGAACAACTGAGAAAGCTGTAGTTTTGTGAATGAGTTTAATCAGTAGAAATGCTGATGAATTAATTCAAAACAAAAATAATTCTGGAAACCACATTTATGCCACAGCTACAAGTACCTACAAGTGTGTACAGATTGTGGTAGATGATCCATACACAGTGAAGTAAAACGAAACAGAGGATGACCAGAGGGCTGGAGCACCTCCCCTGTGAGGACAGGCTGAGAGAACTGGGGCTCTTCAGCTTGAAGAAGGCTCTGAGGAGACCTCATAGGGGCGTTCCAATACCTGAAGGGGGCCTACAGGAAAGCTGAGATGGACTTTTTATAAAGACAGATAGTGACAGGACAAGGGCAAATGGCACTAAGCTGGATGAGGATATGTCTATACTAGATATTAGGAAGAAATTCTTTACTGTAAGGGTAGCAAGACATTGGAACAGGTTGCCCAGTGAGGTTGTGAGTGGCCCATCCCTGGAAGCATTCAAGGCCAGGCTGTATTGGGCTTTGAGCAACCTGGTCTAGAGGGAGGTTTCCTCCCTACAGCAGGGGGGTGGAAGTAGATGATCTTAAAAGTCCCCTCCAACCCAAACCATTCTATGATTCTAAGACTTGGCATCAATCACCAAGGTAATGCACTTAAAAAAATCTTTAAGACTGAATTGGAACCTTTTGCAACAGAAATATGAACCTTCTCCACAGTTCTACAATATCTGTTCTCTTTTAAAATATAAATTTCTGAGATTCATACTTTTGAAAATAAAAATGTTTACTTTTGAAAGGAAAAGATACCAATACGCCGTTTACCATGGTCCTATGCAATACACTGAGCACTGCAATGGGATAAACAAGCAGTCACTGTGGCCAGTGGCACCTTCCTTTACAAAGGCACCATCTGTACACTGACTGGGCTCCAATCCTTCAAAGTTCCTTAGACTAGTAGCAATAATCTTCTTGATACTGTATCAACTTCAGAGTTTACTCTGACACATCACCAAGTTCTGTTATAAAACAGAAGTGCTTGCATGGAGTATTTAGTGCTCTTTACCCAGCCTCTCCCACCTCCCCCTCAAAAAAAAAGCAGAACTTCTGATTTTTTTAAATTAGGTATAATTGGTGATTTCCTTGACTGAGGATAATTCAATCTTCTATTATGCAATAGTTTGAGGTTGAGGAAAAATCCAGCTAAAAGTCAATTTATAAAAACTGTTGAAGAGATGACTCTTGCCTCACCTCTCTCCACCAGAGATTTTAAGCCTGTGATCTTCTAATTACCCTGAAAACACATGTAGTCAACTGCATTAGCAAAATCAGGTTTCATTTCTGAACCCTTGTCTGCCAAATCCTATATACAAGGGCTGCTCTGAAAGTAATGCCTCCTATTTTATTGCATTGGCCCTTGAATTCAGAAGCACATGCTGGCAGTATGAGGTTGAACCCTCCCACCAATGTTCTATTACATTCTGTTGCCACGTGATGAGGGCAACACAGAGGCGATCTAACAAAATGGTGTCTGACATGGAACTGTGTATGGAGCAAAGTTGAGTCACTGAATTCCTCTACGTGGCCACGGCGACATGTAAGACAGCCCACATTCTCAGCCCACAGCCCTGAGTAAGCTATCCTTTGAGGCACTGAAATATCTACGTTCAGAAAGCAGACATTTGAGCAGGGTATTTTCATACATTTTCTACATGTGCAGTAAATTAGTTTAAAGAACTGAATCACAGAATCACAGAATGGCGTGGATTGAAAAGGATGATTGTCTACTTTCAACTCCCCTGCTACGTGCAGGTTCACCAACCACCAGACCAGGCTGCTCAGAGCCACGTCCAGACTGGCCTTGAATGCCTCCAGGGATGGGGCATCCACAGCCTCCTTGGGCATCCTGTTCCAGTGCATCACCACCCTCTGAGTGAAAAAATTCCTCCTAATATCTAACCTAAACCTTCCCTGTCTCAGTTTAATACCATTCCCCCTTGTCCTATCACTATCCACCCCTGTAAACAGCCGTTCACCCTTCTGTTTATATATTCCTATTGCACATTTGTCAACTTGGTCTTATAGCACTGTCTGTTCTTCTCAGGAAATGGTGTGACTGACGGAAACAGTTCAGATTTTCCTACTTATTATCAATTGTCACTTATAGTTTAGTTTTCTTTTCATAAAATCTTGTATATTTTCATTTTAACAAAAAAGGTGACTGGTTAAGGTTAGATTTTATGATGGTTCAGTATTTATCACTATCTTAAAAGCTTACAGAAATTTTCTTTCTGAAATAGAAAGAGAAATGACAAAGCTAGAATATTTTAAATGACCAGTAACTTCAATTTATTCAAAATATATTCTTTAAAATTAATATTCTAATATTAATCTAAGAGTAGAATAGCTAGATATCAGAGCAAGGAGTTTGATAGAACAGCTTCACTTGAAGAGCGTTCTGAGCACTTCAGAAAAGTGATTATTCACAAAATGAAGCCCTAAATATTGATTAATGGAGATAAAAGTCTTGCAAACTAGATGGCAAAACAGATTACTCCGTGAGAATTTAAGTTTGATAGAAATATCTTAGAAGAATAAAACTAAAACATTTCTTCATATAATGAATATACTGGATTAAAAAATGTTTAGAAAGGCAAAGTCAAGCAGTTTACCCTATATGTGTCTCTGTAGTTCTGCCTTCACCACTGAACACGCATCTAGCTGCAAGAATATCATCATAGCTAACATCAACAGGATGTTCCACTGGATAGAATGCCTGCAAGAGAGAATGAGTCACCCTAATTAGTAAAAGCATCCTATATTACTGACGTCAGTACACACACAAAAACAGTACGTGTCCGAAAAGTAATTTCATTAATGTTTTTGCATGGTAAGTAATCACAGCAATGCTTGCCAGTATTCATGTCTAGTGGCACAATAACGTGCACCAGTGGAAACATGACGCAAATCTAAGGCATGTGATATTAGTTAAACTTCTTAGTTTTAAATAAAGACAATTAGAATTGAAAGTATAGTAAGTAAAAAAAAAAAATCCAATAACCAACCTGTGGTACTTGTGGACTCTGTCTACCAATTAATGTCCACTGACCATTTCTCACTCTGTATCCACTCACTACTTTACCTGGAACACACAAATACATATGTGAACATTGTTTACTTCTAAAAAAGGATGCTGCAGGTTCCGTATCATGCCATTAAATGATTGGTATACTTGATATTGCATTGAAATTCTTACCTAGTCTGTGCGTATGAACTCTGTAGGCAAAAAGGTGCATTGGAAATCTTTTGTAATGGCAAGCAATATCTGCATCAACCACTGTTGAAATACGGTAAAAAACACAAGAACATTAATTACCAAACAGAGAAAAGCTATACTACTAAACTTCATTTAGGGTAAAAGTAATTTCAAGAAGTGGGTACGAGAGAATTTTAATTTATTGAGATTATTCAATCTAAGTTTCAGATAAAATCTACTGAATATGACTGTGAGTAGAAAATGTTCAGAAATTTGTTTTCAGAATGTATTTTCTATGTTTTAACCTCTTAACCAACTAGAAACATAGGAATGAAAGTTTCAAAAGAGCAGCTTTATTTCATTTATTGAAATTGACCTTTTATGTAAATCTCAATTATGTAGCATAAATACAAATGCAGATGAAGTATCCAAATTTTATGGATTTGTGGGAAAGGGGAGAAAATAGGCAGGATTTTATCAGTAAAGAAGTGTTTAAAAGGACAACAAATCAAAGAAATACTTTTAAGAACCCCAGGAGCTCCACTGTTGCACAGATCACTGCTGTTTTGTAAAACACTTATCTACAACACTGATTGATTTCCTTTGCGAATGAAATGTGATGATTCATTTCATTACAGCAATTAACTCTTGCACCAGTATGGCTCTGATACATTTTCTTCCATGATCAGCAGAAAAAAAATAATCAGATACTGACACTACATGTCCCTTTGTAGAGCTACAACTTACCTTTCTCTCCAGGTGGTATTACAGTGTTCACAGACATCATTAGATACATTCCAGCAATCAAAGGCTGCCTGCAATGCAAAACCCAAGTTCTTTTAAACAAACCCTTTGTAAAACCAAATTAGAAGTGACACAATACACAATACTGTTTAACATCGCTAATTTCTAAGTGTTTACTTGTGAAACTACGCTACAGAACCTGCTCCACAACACGTTCTCTTCCCTCCTATGTTACACATGTAACTACAGTTTTTAAAGCATCTTATACAAAATAAGTAAAGTAACACATAAGATTATCTCCATAATTGCTATTCTTATCCCGAATCCAATGTGAGCCTTTTAACTATTCTGCACTGACAGCAACATAACACCAAATCTCATGGAAGGAATAAAAGCTTTTGCCAGCAGATGATGCTTCGGAATTCTTAATATATTCAGTTTGTCATATTTTTACTTCACACACTTCAAAAGAAATCTAAGCGATTTCAATGTCTTCTGATAAAAAAAATTACACTAGGTTCAGTATTTTTAATTAGACTTACTTTTGATGAGTCAGATGCAAAGTTACACCAGAGCAGTCCTTGTGTTTATCTGTACAAATAATTAAATAGTTTAATCATTGCCAACTAACTTTATGTAAAAATACATACAGAAGTATGTTAAAAAAAAAAAAAAAAAAGACACTAATCTGTGGTATAAAAAAATAACAACAGACAAAATAGGCTTTAGCTCTTCTATTCTTGGTAAATAACTCCAGTGGAAATATTACTCAAATTTGACCAAACCTGAATATCACTGTATTGCATTTAAAGCAAAACCTATAACACATAGCTTTTCATCCTTCAGAGCTTTGCTAACTGCATTTCTTGTCACTAAAAATTGCAGATCTTTAAGAACTAGTTTTGGGGAGATGAAGCCATGCCATTTTTTGCAATAGCTAGAAAAACTATTTTGCTTTAGAAAAATTGCATACTGACAAAAAATAGGGAAAAAAAAAAAAGGAGTCCTGGGACTTTAATCTTTGTTCTGCAAGAAAGTGAAGTTATGTCAACACAAAAAAATAGCGACAGTGAGAAAAGGGGTATAACTCTAAAGCCAGGAAACATACCCTTTCACCCTGTAAGTCCAGAAAAGAAAGAGATCGGAGTTGCTATGCATCTGCTGACAAGTAATAACTTGAGACATATTTTCCTCCTATCAATATGTAGGTAAGATTCAGAACTGAAAAACCAGTGTGTTTGAACAGAAGAAAGAATTGTGATGACAGTAGAACTATACAGAACAAAATGAATCAGTAATTTTTTAAAAAACATTAGTCACAGCCCTTCATTATTAAATGATAATAAACACTTCCACATCTAAAAATCTGAATCAGTAATTAACAGCAACAACAACAAAAGGCAACCTTTCACTGGAATGGTAGCTCTCCCATCCGGAGTACACCAGTAGTCTAACTGAATGCTTGGAAAGAATACCTAATGAGAACTTTTTTGAGAACAACTGTGATGAAACAGATGGAAAGCAGCTGAAAATTCAAGTAGCAGTGCAGAAAGAGAACTGATTCAAAGCAGATGGAATTCGAGTGTCTTTCTTAAGCTACACATAATACTGCCTCAGATATAAAGACTTATGTACCTACGTTCTGTGTAAGGGATCTAGCATGGGTTTGATAAAGCCCTGACAACTGCAGCTCACCTACAATCACACACACAGCCAAGCCAGTCATTGTCACTTTGTTTTCATATTTCAGCTGATTTTATAAAATCTCCAACACTCTAAGAGAGTCTTTCAATAAAATAACATTCTTATCTATATCATTTTTGTGCTAACATGCAAGTTTGTAAAGAAAAATACTATACACTGATAAAGAAATCTAAACTTCAAGATAAACACATTCTAAGATGGAATGTTTTACTTTACTTTTTAAAACAGTCAAGTCCTTCAGTAAACACATTCACCCAGCATGCCATTTGCCAGGTGGCAGAAAAGGAGATAGAGAAGACAACCAAGCTGTAGAAGTAAAGGGGAAAGGACCAAATAGACCAAGAGAGATCAGACAACATCAAATGACAAGTATTAAGATACAGTCAATACTGGGCTCAAACAATGCAACAGGTTACAAACAGAAATTGATACAATGTGATTACCTTTCTTTTGTAACAAGTTAAGTTATTATTGACACTAGGGAATATTTCTATATTCTTATGTGCTGGGAACTACAAAGGTAATCATATGATAGGTAAGAAACCATGTTAGACTTTGGTACAAGACATACAGGATGAAAGAAATTATATACATTGAGATTTTATGTATTTTTTTTAGTAAAACTTGAAATAAATCATAAATACTTTAACAACTGCACTGCTTATCTCTACAACGCATATCTGAAGTTTGGTACCTTCACAGATCTTAGGATGGCTAGACTTATTTACATTTGAATCTGAATGCTAAACACATAGGCAGTAATGAAAGCAACAAATTTCTGACCTACTTTTCACTTGTAACTATCTGCTGTCAATAAGAAGTCAAAATAGCTCATACATTTACAGTTTTTAGAAAAATAGAAAAAGTCAAAGTGAGCAATTATTATTTTTCTAAACAGCTTTTTACACACACCATGTCCTGCCACCCTTCCTCTCCATTACCTTCACTCAATCCGTTTTTGGTCGCCACCTTGTTTTTTAATTACAGACATTATACAGAATGTTTTCTTTTGATAAGCAGAGTATAAAATGCCTCCCTAAATATTAATATTTATATATGGATCATAGCTAAGGACAGAAGGAAAGTACAATTAGTTTAATTACTGGTTCAAGAAATGAAGAAATATCTCTTTTACAAATTGTTGTATATAACAGTTGATAAACTTTAGCTATGATATGATATTCCTCCCTTCCCCCCCCCAAAAAAAAAAACTGATAGGAAGTAGAATTTTCTGCTAGTTCCCAAATAATTACTATTTCAAGTCAAATATTTTATACTTGCAATTACCTACATGTCACAAAATTTAACTCTGAGCAGCACTTCTGAATTCCTAAGTCATTGAAAGTATAATAAGTTAACTGAGTATATTTTATCATTTCTGCTCCTTCAAATGTGTACATACTAATATACAAAGTGTAATATTCTTACATATTAGAAAGCTAAACTTATCAATAGACATCTCATTCCATGAAAAAAAAGCTTCCTTTAGGTAATTCCTTAAGTGTGTAAGAATCTCTGGAAAAAAAAAAAAAGATTTCTCTACTGGGTGTCTTTGAACACAAAAAAACCAAGGTTTAGGACACTTACATTGCTAGATTCAAATTACATTTTTGTACTACTGTAATTTTCACAGACAGAATCAAATATTTTCCACTCACAATAACAGTAAAAAATAGTTGATTTTTTTTTTTTTTTAAACTTAAGTTTTTAGGCCATCACAGAAAAAAAAAAGTGAAAACTCTGAAACTGAAAAGAGAGAAAATCCAGTCAAATTCCTTAACTACTGAAACAGTACACAAAGCTGGTACTGTCTTCTAAATTATATCATTATCAGTTCCTACTTCCTAAACATCCATATTTCTAGGGGCTTGTATGACATTGATTATATGGAGTTCTGCACAGAAGTGCACAGAAGACACACAAGTAATAAGGAAGGATGTCATGTTGAGGTGCTGGTTTTTATTTCAGGTGCCAATTTCTTTCATTTCTTTCTTTGAGAAAAGGGATTTTTTGACTATGAAATTTGACAACCAAGTCAAACCCAAAAAAATTCTTAGCACATCCTCAACTAATGTGCAATAGGAGTTACTAATCTCATTTTTTTTTTTTCATACACATCAATTGTACTTAAAAGAGAAAATTAACACTGAGAACTCTCACCGTCCCCAAGCAATAATGAAGACCAGGCTCTCAACTAACAAGTTTTCTTCAGAGGTTTGTAACTTTAATTATGCATGATTTTAGCAGGCAAGGAATCACAGGCTGTACATGTCCATGAAAATCAATTCTTTCAACTTCTGTCATGCACATTTACACACATCTTCCATTTAAGTAGTTCCAGCATACTCAGCTCATTCATCCTACTTGTCTTCCCACATTAGCATTATTGCCATTATGCCACATTATGTTTTCATGTCACAGAAGAAACTTCAACCTCAGAAAAGTTATAAAGACAGTAGGACAATACTGAGTAGGACACTAGATTGCTCAAAGTTGGCAGCAAAGAGGTATACATAAGGGAGGCTGCATTGCATGAGGAAACTGTTAGCTACATCCTTTCTTCTCCATTCAAAACTAGGTAAGATCTCTGGATCATGTAGCACATTATTCACAAAAGATTCAGAGGCCATAGGCATAACACAGGAACTGCAGGTGCAATGAATATTCTTCCCAGTTCTTTATGTCTTCTACAGCTTTAATTTCTGTTCAGAGCTTCTGGTTTATGGTTTCTCTGAAACAATTTCTACTTTCTCCTACCAGTACTAAGAAATCTAATCTACTAAGACTCATTGGTAATGACACTATTAAAGATTTTTTTTTTAATTTTAATTTTCTTGCTATGCGCATTTTCAAAATGCCATAAATTTACCTTATCTTTGGTTATTATTCAGTTTACTTCCCCTTTACTGTCCAACACTTGTTATCTCTTACACCATAACAATTTCCACATATTTGTTTAAATTCTACACAGTAAGGTATGACAGAATTGCTTCAAGAGTACAGAGATCCATACGTTTCTTTGTTCCTTAATGCAACAGAAACCCTAAGAAGAAGATTTGACATATCAAAAATAAGAATTTATGCTTCTCAAAGGTGTCAGAATAACCTAGTTCAAGCTTAAGGAGCATATTAGAGCATAGAATTTTAAAAATTTTAAATAATCTTATTTCAAGAAGCTCAGATCAGACAGATAGGAGCACCCTCATTTTCATAAGCCCTAATCCTTATGGGAGACCTAACTATCCCACTATCTACTGGAGGGAGAACACAGCAGGGCATTTGAAGTCCAGGAGGTCCCTGAAAAGCTTGGACTTTCTTGTTGAAGTGATAGAGGAATGAATGAAGAGAGATATTGGACCTCATTCTCGCCCTTAGGAAGGGGCTTCTGAGGAATGTGAAGCTCAAGAGCAGTCTTTGCTACAGGAGCAGTGAAAAGAGACTGAGAGCAGCCTTGCCAAGAAGGACTTGAGTGCTCCGGTAGACAAAAAAGCTGGACATGTGCCAGCAGCACGCACTTACAGCCTGGAAGCCCATCTGCCTCCTGACCTGCTTCAAAAGAGGAGTGACATCAGGGAGAGGGAAGGGACTGTCACCCACTGCTGTCCTCGTGTGGCCCTATCTGGCTTACCAGGGAGGTGATTGAGTCACCATCTCTGAATGTGTTAAAACCGTTTGGATGTGGAGCTCAGGGACATGATTCAGTGGAGCCTTGTTAAGAGTTAGGGTACTGTGGTTATGTTGCAGTTGGATTTGAGAAGATCTTTTCCAACCTGAGCCATTCTATGATTCTATGATCCCATCATATCCAGGTCTGAGGCCTTCAGCACAGGAATGATATGGAACAGCTGGAGCACATCCAGAGGAGGCCACGCAAATGATCAGGGGACTGGAGCACGTCTATGAAGAAAGGTTTTAAGAGCTAGGCCTGTTCAGACTGGAGAAGGCTTCAGGAGATCTCACTGTGGCTTTACACTATTTAAGATGGACTGCAGAAGAGATGGGCAGGGATTCCCCACGTCATAGATGGTATGAGGAATAGGAGTATGGAATAACAGCTTTAACAGAAAGAAGGTAAACTCATATTAGATATGAAGAAGTGGAACAGGTTGCACAGAGAAGTCATGGAGCTCCCACTCCTGAAGGTATTCAATGCCATGTTGGGTTGGACTTTGGGCTCACAGCAGGGTGAGGAATAGATGATCTTTAAAAAGGATGATCTTTAAAATCCCTCCTAGACCAAACCACTCTGTGATTACATTAATATTTCTATGTACATTAATGCAATCCAAACACTGACTGACAATAAGTGCACTACCATGCTTGAAATGACTTTCACCTTTTTTGAAATATGAAACACTATTTCCACTATTTGCAACTTCACAATCCAAACACAGACACTGCAATTGATTGGCAAGTAATAAGTCATATTCTGCACTAGCTGTTCAATTGATGTTAAGCGCGTTCATGCGTATTTGTTCCAACCTTCTAAAATACAAGTAGGAATTACATAGGGGCAAATAATTTTCTCCCTAAACACAGATTTATTTATCTACTTCATTAATTTAAGTCATTTGCTCTGTATCCTTCAAAGAAAATAAATCTGTTTACCAGATAGAAAGGAAGTCTCTAAAGAAGTAAAATTAATACATTAACTTTATTACAAATATGACTGCAGATCTCTATTTTTGTGAGTGGTACAAGCAGAGAAATTTTTTTGTGCAGATAATGTAGATATTCTTAATGAACTGAAATGCTATAATTAATATAACTTACAGAATGAAGTTCCAGAATACATACCTCTAAATGCACTGATATCACCATAGTGTACCTGCAGTACAAAAAATTTGCTCCCTGTTTCTCCTCCAACCCTGAATCCAACACCTATGGGTAGGAAAACAAGGCTTTCAGAAACAATAAAATGTAATTTAGTTCACCAGGGCTGAACATATCTACCACAAATACAGAACTAACAAATACAAATCACTGAAACTGCCTAGAGAGAAAGGGTATATAATTTTACTGAGATAAATGAAGCGTAAAACTCAGGAAAACTACTGTCATGACACACTTTCCCAGATTAAAAATGTAAGAACAAAATTTAGTTATTAATGATCAGATACCTATTTCAAGCCAAGAATTCTCTAAACACAAAACTCCGATCACAGATTTGAGGTATATATTACGCACATAATATAATTGATAAAGTAATAATTAAAAAAAAAATAATCAGATTTTCGTCATCCCTGCAGAATTTGGAATAATTTTCCTCTCATCTCCCAGTCTCTCCTACTACCTGTGAAGAACACAAACTGAGTAATGCTGACTAACTGAAAACACACTGTAAAATAAAGTAAGAAACAGTAATTAAAAAAGATCAGTGGTGAACTACTTTAAGACAACAATTAACATTGTATGCTGAAAATGTCTTGTGGAACTCATGAAGCTATTTTACTTGCTAATGGAAGCAACAACGGGCAGAGAAGAAAATAGAGGGATCTGAAATAATTTGTAATAATGAAATTGCAAAAGATCACCACCATCACAAAGGGAATTCTCTAAACTGGTTATACAACGAATGCTCTAGAAAAGCAGCACCAGAAGCAATTTCAACTTCTACAGACACTGAATCCCAGTAGATTAAAACTGCTCATGGCAGGAGCCAATTTATAAAAGGGACTGCAGTTTCCCTGTTGAGAAGCATGATATCGTTATGATAAAAAAACAATACCTTGTATTTATGGGCAGCTTAGAGGCAGAAAAATTATTACAAACTGAGGTTTAACAGCAGAGCAAACAACAGACTTCCACAGAATCCTCTAAGCAACAATTTTTTTTAATTGACATTCTGATAACCAAATCAACTAACATTTATGGCAATAAGCATGAAAATTGTATTTCAAATAAACCCCTTGATGACAGTATGTATGTATTGTTCATGGTTAATAAAAAGAGGCAGTAAAAGAGAAAAAGAATCTCAATTTCAAGGTTATACTTATATAGACAGATACAACTTCTACGTGTCTTATTTGTAACGTACAAGATTTTGATTGCAAATCAGCAAAATGGACTCATACATTCAAAAGAGTACATAAGCACGTTGCTCATCTTCATGAAATACCAAGAAACTAAAACCAAGTAAAATTATCCACTATACTTAACACAGAAAAAAAAATAATTATTTAGATTCAATTTGTCTATACTTTCCTAACACAGAAATATTTCAATTCAATTTCAGAGAGATAGCATTAACTGTGCCACTAAAAAATACATTCAATGTATGCATTCCAAAAAGACACAGTAGGAAATGAGATTAATGTTATTTAGAAATAAAGCACTAACTGTTACTTTTTTTCTCCCATCTGAAGACCATAATGATATAGCAAAAAGGACAACAAAAAAAGAAACCACAAGTGTATTAGCTAGCACAACATATTCCCAGTTTATGAAATTTAGGTTCATACTCATTCCATTAACTAAACATGATTTCACACAAGTTTCCTAGATATGCCCATTGCTCATCTCCACATCCTCTCCTCTGCCCCTGCACACAAGGACTTCACATAAACGTTCGATACCTTTGGGTAGCCTGGTAGGTGGAGCATTTCTTGCCCAGGCATACAAAATATTTGATTTGTCTTTGCAGATTCCTTCATCACAGTCCCTAAAATTATCAGCAAAGAAAAAAAAAAAAAAAAAGGAAATGTTTTTAATTTTGAAATCTGAAATCAACAGGTAAATTATATGGAAAATTACTAATTTTAAGCTCACAGAATCACAGGAAGGTATAGGTTGGAATGAGCCTTAAAGTCCACCCAGTTCCAACCCCTGAGATGGGCAAGGCTGCCCCCCACCAGCTCAGCTGCCCAGGGCCCCATCCAACCTTGAGCACCCCCATGGATAGGGCACCACAGCTTCTCTGGGCAGCTGTGCCAGGGCCTCACCACCCTAAGATGTATGAAGATGCTTTTGGACATAATTTGATTCGACATGTTTCTTTTAATGTAGATTACTTTCTCAGCTATCCTTACATCACCCATCTTTTTCACTCTTTTCTTCCCTCAGCTTTAAGATAACACAGACACGATCATTTTAAATAAAAAAAAACGATATTCAGAATTCATCTAAAGATCACTGGAAATTAAAAGCATGCAAAAAGACTGCTTAAGAAGCAATAAGTAGATGCACTCATACTCTTTCCTGCAGTTAATGCCAGCACAGCACTGTAAATTTTTAGTTTACAGTACACTTTCCCAGTTTGTTTGTTTGTTAAGTAGAAAATAATAAAAAAAGAGAAGTTCATGTCAAGCTACCTATCATGAAATTCTTGAAAGAATTATGATTTGATGCCAGCCTCTGTGGCCAAAATGTTGCAACACTGTCTTCCTTAGTCAGAACACCTACATAGGCCAACGCCACTGAGCAGCAACACAAGTGAAATAGCTCCTCTTGTCTGAGTGGTTTCCTTGTTTGTTTTAAAGGTATCTACTATTTGTAGGGATATTTTGTTATCAGAAACCAACAGACAAAACAGATGAAGAAAATGTGCTCAGAAAGCAGCCTGCAATAAAACAGACTCACAGAATGGTTTGTGTTGAAGGAGTCTTACGAATCATCTAGTTCCAAACCCCTGCCATGGGCAAGGACACTTGATTCAGGCTAAGGACCTTGCATTTAGCATTCTTGAACTTGCTGGGGTTCACTCAGGCACTCCTCTCAAGCCTATTAAGGTCCCCCTGGAAGACAACTCCTCCCCTCAGCAGGATGTCAGCCTCACCACATCTTGGTATCATTTGTGAACTGCACTCAATCATACTGCCCATGTTACTAAGATGTTCAATAGCATACTTCCAATACCAACCCAAAGGAACAATACAGTCAACCACATGGACGCTGAGCTGTTGACTACAACTGAGTGTAGCTATCCAGAAATTTTTTTAACCAGCTAGTGGCCCATCTGACAAAGCTATCTTCAATTTACAAACAAGAACATCCTGCACTTCTCACAAGTCCAAGTGGTTGACATTACTGCTCTTCCCTTATTCATTAATGCTGTAACCCCTTACTCACTGCAATCATCAAATTCACTAAACACCATATTCATCAGACACAATTCACTCTTAGTGAAGTCATACTAACTTCCACCAGTCACCTCTGTTTTCCTTGTGCACATGGAAGGCACAGCTTTCTCTGTTTACCACTGCTGGTAAAACAATAACTGGGAAAAATAAAGTTTCACATACAGTGCAAAAAGAATAAAGACAAAAAACAAGGGCTTTTAGCAGATGCAGGCTCTGTGACTTCTTTGTTGAGGACGCCTCTCAGATGAGGATTCATCCTGGTATGCTCTCCTCCAGAGATAACTAGTTCTAGATGTATATAGGAAAAAGCAGCAAAGCAGCTCAGCTGGACATTATGAGTTTCTATCAATCGCCAAAGCCTTACTGCAGCAAAGTGTTACTGCTTTCTTCTGACAGAAAGCACTGCTATGATCACTAGACTATCTACAATAAAGGGAAGATGTCACTTCTACCCCCTTGCTAGTTTTGACTGTAATGCAAATAATTTCTAGACCTTCAAAAAAACTAACTTGATCTCCCAACCCTTCATGCCTCCCCTCGCCACCCATCCTATCCTCCAGTGAAACATATCCCAAAGAGAAACCTATTTAAGGTTAATTGAAAAAAAAAAAAATAAAAGCCATACAGCTGCAGGAAAAAATCTGTACAGCTTTCAACTGGTGCAAGTTAATACAACAGAAGACTGCATGGATCTAACCAGCTACTGCGCTGCACAGGTCAGAATACATTAGGAAGGCTGGCTGGGAGGAACAAGAGCAGAAACCATAAGCAAGCATAGTCACAGTTCTGCAGCCACCGTCTGGGCATCTTACCTTCATTAAACCACAATTCTTGCTAAGGTCTGTCACATAAAGATATTCTATCACATCAGCTAGGCAAAAATCAACCAACCAAAGAAAAGATAAGCTATTCTAATCTTCTCTTGGGTATCAGGAGGAAAAAAAGAAGAAATACACAGCTCTTTTGCTATGCTTAAACAACTGTCAACTTCCATTTAGGCAACACTGCTGATCTTGTAAATTCAGATAATAAAACCAATGTCAAAGTAGATTCAAAAGAAGAGATAAGACAGTTGATGAATAAAAAGAAAACACTAGCAGGAAATTAGAAAAGTGTAAGTTTACAAACACACAAAAAAAATTAACCTATTGCATGAGAACAGGCTTTACTGATTGCTTCTTATGTAGTTCCTCATGCCTTCCCCACACTGACTTTGAAAGATCTTACGAACTTCATAAACACATTCTTCTCAATCAATGATCAACAGTCTTAAAATATTTTGCAACTTTTATTGGAACTAAAGATGCAGTTCTTCCAGTTAAAAGCTTCCAAAATCATCATCTATTGCCAACAAAAGCAACTAGTCTAATGGAGGAATTACTGGGTAGTGATCTATGGCCTGAATTTACGCATTTGTTTAGACTGGATAGCTATATATAGTTGCCATGCCTAATCCCATTACAGCTTATGCTTATGAATCATCTGAAATACGAGATCATTTCAGCAAAGGGTTTGAGATTGCATTAGACCTTGTCCTGCCAAGAGGCTCTGAAATTCTGAGTAACAACCTATGGAGAGTCACACCTTTTGATGAATCAGCTCTGATACTTTTAGTGCCAATTATGATCAAGGAGCAGAAGTCTTTAATTTTATTTTAGAATCATAGAATCATAGAATCACCAAGGTTGGAAAAGACCTAAAA